TTACACAGGATAATCTGTTTTAAAGCCAGCAGATTCGTAACCTTAATTCCATCTGCAGTCCTAATTCCTGTTTGCCATGGAAACTCACATATGCATAGGTCACTGGGATTAAACATGGGCATCTTTGGGAGCCATTATTCTGGGGACCATGCTGCCTGAAAGAATGGGTTTGAGAAGGAGCAGGCACAGAGAGAGGAGCCAGAAGGAGAGTGAAATATCACAGAATCCAGAGAAAAAGAGTTCCTGGACAGGAGTGACTACCACTGTTGGAAGTCAAGCATGATAAGAACTCAAAGATATCCATTGGAGGGGTACCTAGCTGGCGCAGTAGGAGAAGCATGTGACTCTTAACGTCAGGGTCCTGAGTTTGAGCCCTACATTGGGTGTAGAGATTTCTCTCTCTTTCTTTCTCTTTCTCTTTCCATCCCCCCACCCCACACATATATACATACCCATTGGATTTAGCATTGTGCTGACATCAGCCATTAGTTGTCAGGGGAGTATTTGGGGGGCAGGAGCTAGTTTATGGTGTGCTGGGTAGTAAGGAAGAAGTGAGAAAGTACACGCTGGAATTGTAAAATCTTCCCAAAAACTTTATTGTGAAGGGAAATTTGTTACTATTTCTAAAATGGGGAAAGAGAAGGGACTTTCAATGCAGATGAGAAGGCAGGCGAGGTGTCGGAGAGACGGGTCATCAATAGACGTGATGTCTGGGAGGGAAACCGCGCAGCTAGCCCACGGAAGGCTTGGAAAGAGAGACTGTGGGGTTGATCCAGTCTCAGGTTTTTGCCAGGCTGGCGCCACGACGGAACAGAGGTTAGGATAATGTCAAGCGTGTGGCGTGATAATGGAGCTAGGAATTTTTTTTTTAATTTTAATTTATTTTTTAAATTTCTTTTCAGTGTTCCAGGATTCACTGTTCACGCACCACACCCAGTGTGGAGCTGGGAATTTAAGGGCAAGAGGCAGAGGCGGGGAGAGAGAGAGACTGGCCTGCAGGCGGCGCTGATGAGATAGAAGGGGAAAACTGAGCAAGATCGGACGATTGGAGATTATAGAGTCCTAATAGTATCTGAAATAATAATTTCAGTGAAAATGCTGGTTTTTGATCGGATCGCAGTATTCTCTGGATTCCCTGGTCCGCCGGTCCCTAATCCCTGGATGTTCCAAAGTTTAGAACAGAGCTTGGCATAGCGTAAACGCTACACGGTTAGCCACATTAATATAATTTTTAAAACTCGGAGACTCCATTTCCCTTAAGGCATTGCGGCCACTCCGACTACAACTCCCATGATGCCTGGCAGGCCGTGCGCTCCCGTGATTACCCCTGTCCCTAATCTGGTTTTCCAAACCCAGCGTTCCTCCCTGTTTTCCTACCTTGCCACGGCACGCCCATCACAGTCGTAGGCACAACCAATTGGATCAGGGAGTGCGAGGCCAGGAAGGCCAATCGCCCAGAGGGGCGGGAGAAGGCGTGCCACATCCTGTCCTCCCCCAGCTCCGTGGCTGGTTCCCTACGGGCTAGTGCCTCCGGGCGGGATCGGAAGACATGGGCGCTACCTGGGGGAACCCCGGATGGGTGCGGCTGGCGCTGTGCCTCGCGGGTTTAGTGCTCTCTCTCTACGCGCTGCACGTGAAGGCGGCGCGCGCCCGGGACCGGGATTATCGCGCGCTCTGCGACGTGGGCACTGCCATCAGCTGTTCGCGCGTTTTCTCCTCCAGGTGCGTACGGGAGTGGAAGGCTTGCGGGGCTGGTCTGCTAGTCGTGGGGTCCAGGTTGCCGGCGGCTTCTGGAGTTTGGGATGGGACGCTTGGGGGCGGGGCTGCTCGAGGGGGCCTGGGGAGACTGTGTTCCAAGAAAGGAGTGTGGGGCCTCGGGCTGGGGCCGGATGGTGCAGGTAGTACTGGGCACTGTGGTTGTTCTGGGGAGTAGCACGTAGATTCGAATGCCAAGGAATAACGGTAACCGGGTAGAAGGGGGAATGGCTTAGCGTATGGGGACTGATGATGGGCTTGAGGTCTTGAGGATGGCCGTGACTAGGATACGGTGGCCAGCTCTGACTATGCTTGAGGGCCTGGGGTTGACAGAATACAGAAGAGGGGAGTGAGCGAGAAGGGAGCTGGAGATTTAGAGGTCCCGGGCAGAGAGATTCTGCACCTGATTCCCAGGAAAGCAAGGTCAACCGTTCTACCTACCTTGCCATCTTAAGAATTACTGAAGGCCTAGGATGAAAAGAGGGGCATATGGTGGAGCCCTGGCCTGGGGGTAGGGGAACACCGGGGCAGGGACATGGAATCCTGACGTAGCCAAAGGGAGGGTAGCCAGGAGTTCATCGACCCTTGGACTCAGGAGGGCGTGGGGGAGGGAAGGGGAAGTACAACCTAGGTGGCTTTTTGGAAATCACCCCTCCAGGACAGGGCCAAGGCACTGGATTGCCACTCCTAACCGGGGTCCTGCCCTCCACCAGGTGGGGCCGGGGCTTCGGGCTGGTGGAACATGTGCTCGGCCAGGACAGCATCCTCAATCAATCCAATAGCATATTCGGTTGCATCTTCTACACTTTACAGCTGTTGTTGGGTGAGTGACCCCTCCCCTTCCCTTAAGGCTCCACCTCTTCCTGATAGGCCCCCTCCCCCTTGGCCCGCCCAGCCCCATCCCTCGGAATCTCGGTGACCCAGACAGCCTAGAGCCCACTGCACATCAGCGAGCCCCCTGGAGGGGGCAGGAACTACCAAGTCTTTCACTTGGTTAAGGTCCTGTCAGAGCCAGAAGGGCCCTTAAAGACCTCCTAGGACTCACTCCACTTTGTGGGAAAGACTCAGGAGTTACTCTCTGGGGGAACTCCAAGGACAGCATCTCTTTCATCACATGCAGAGCTCAGCAGGGAAATTCACTATTTGGGTTCTAGGGCTCGATGAACAAATAGGAGAACCAAGGCCTTGGTGAGGCCCATCAGAGTCTCTCATTTTAGAGACTCTTCCCAAGCAAGATCCTGAGGTCTGAGTGGTACCCTGAAGTCAAGGCAGTGTTCTAGAGATGGCCAGTCCCTGAAGCCCTGCCTGAGCCTTGTCTGCCTTGCAGGTTGCCTCCGGGCCCGCTGGGCATCTATCCTGCTGGTGCTGAGTTCCCTGGTGTCTCTTGTCGGTTCTGTCTACCTGGCCTGGATCCTGTTCTTCGTACTCTATGATTTCTGCATCGTTTGCATCACTACCTATGCCATCAATGTTGGCCTGGTGGTGCTCAGCTTCCGGAAGGTCCGGGAACCGCAGGGCAAGGTCAAGGGGCACTGAGCCCTCACCCAAGCCAGGCTGACCTCATGCTCTTCCTTGGCATGGGAGCCTTGCCCAGGGGGCCCATGTCTGGGTCCTTAGAAGAGTCTGCAGCCTGACCCCACCATACTCCCACACAGGACAATGGACCAAATGTGCCACATTCTTTCCTCCATGTCAGTGCCTCTGGCTCTGTCCCCAAGGGCTGGGTTCCAAAGCTCCTGCCATTGCCCAAGAAGGGAAGGTTCTGAGCAATAAAATTTCTTAAATAAACTGGCTAAGTCTGAGCCATCTGTCTGTGAGGGACCCTAGTGTTGCGCCTCCCCCAGTCTTGTCTCCTCTGGATTGGAAGCAAATGAGTCAGAGGGAGAGTGTAGGGCCTACCTGGAAAGGATGGTTGGTCCCTTCTCCAGTGTGTGGAGTTGGTAAGACTTGGGGTGCCATCGGCCCCACCCCCAAAAAACAGGCTGGCAGCTTGTCCTTGCTGCCCGACGGGAGCCAGGGTTTCTCTTCTTGGGGGCCAAGCACACACTTGAAAGGGCAAACTACCCTTCTACTTCTGTGCGTGCTAACTGGGAAGTTCTTCCTATGGTCCAGCTTTCACCCCTCCAGCTGCCTTATCTACCACCCCAAGCCAGTCTTGGCCACCCTGAGGACCAGGAACACATTTTGAGTATTTCTGTCTTAGTTTTCCTAATATGTACTAAGCACCTATCCACATGCTAAGCACTGCATAAGAACATGACATATGGGGGCGCCTCGGTAGCTCAGTGGGTTAAGGCCTCTGCCTTCAGCTCGGGTCATGGTCTCAGGATCCTGGGATCGAGCCCCGAGTCGGGCTTTCTGCTCAGCAGGAAGCCTGCTTCCTCCTCTCTCTCCCTTTCTCTCTGTCTACTTGTGATCTCTATGAATAAATAAATAAAAATCTTAAAAAAAAAAAAAGAACATGACATATGTTAACTCCTCTAATCCTTACATATCCAGTTGTATGAGGTAGATGTTCTTATCCCTATCTTGATGAGGAAACTGTGATACAGAGAGAGTAAGTAATTTACCTAAGACCACACAGCTGGCGCCAGGGAGGGGGTTAAGGGGCCCTGGGGATTCAGATCCACTGGGGCTGTCTGGCTCATGTCTGCCCTTACCACAACTGCCTGTGTTGGGGGTCAGGGTTCCTGAGTAGTTTGGGCTGGCCTGAGTTAGAAGTGGGGAAGAGAAAAAGGGTGCACCCTGAATGTTCCTCCTTCCCAACTGAGTCTTCCACCACCTGCCAGAAGGGTGGGCGCCGCTGTAACCTTGGTCCCTGGGAAGGTGGCAGAGAGGTTCTGGGATTTGTCAGCCTCGCTGCAGAGAGTGGCAGAGAGTCCCGGGCCCGCACACACGGCATCTGAAGCAAGGTGGGAGAAGGTATGTGAGACCCAACTACTCGTGCGCCTGGGGGAGAGCTAGGGAAGCTGAAACAAACTGTGACCTGGGAGGCTCTGCCCACAGTGCCCCTCCCAGTTCCCAGTTCCTAGAGGACAGCTTCCATGCTGGGAGCAAGTCTTCTCTGTGTCAGACTCTGGCCCAAGCATTTTCACATTCAGCAATTCTGAGTCCACAGACAGGCTACTTGTCCAAGGTCACTTAGGCAGTAACGGGGGAATGAGGATTTGAACCCATGCAGTCTGGCCATGGCGGAGCCCCACGAAGGGGTGGTGAAGAGCCCAGGGTAACATAGTCACAGCCACCTAGGAGCTGCAGGCTCCCTTCCAGCCAGAGGAAAAGCAATGACACCTGACTCTTAGCCAGCCGGGGGCGGAGCAGAGGTGGAGCTAGGGAGACCCAGGTGGCCTCTGAAAACCTGAGCAGAGGCGGCGGAGTGGCCTGGAGCAGCATGCCGCAGAGCTGGGGGCCAGCACTGCTCATCCTGGCAGCCGTGGTCCTCGTGGAGGGTGAGCCACTGCGGGTGAGCGGGGAGGGGAGTGGTGTGGTGGGCCGCCCGCTGTCCCAGCAGGCTTGCAGCTCGGGGTGTGTGAGGGCGCGAGCCCGTGGGGCGACAGTCAGCTGGTGCTGGTGTAACCGTGTCTGCCTGTGGAGCAGGCCACCTATGTCAGAACAGGTGGGATTTTCCTGGGCCAGATGACAGTCCATGTCTGCTGTCGCTGTGCCTGTGTGTGTACCCTGCACCCCTCCTGCCTCTCTACTTCTCTACTTCCAGAATGACCTTCAGCAGGTTCTGGGAGCCCTTTGGCTCTGTGTCCTCATGTCTCTGTCCCATTTCTCCTGGCCTCTCCTGGCCCAGATGCCGATGTGCCTATGATGGGAAAGAGGCAGGGCAGGGGATCCTTTGGTAGAGTTTCTGGCGGATTCTGGAAAGGTGGGGGACTCTGAGTCGTCAGAACAGGGGTGGGGTGAGTCTCCATCTCCCGGCGCCCTCCCCAACTCGGACATGACGTCTGCCTCTAATCCTTCCTCTTAGGCATCATGGCTGAGGGCACAATTAAGCTAATGCTCTCCACATACGCAGGCCGCCTCCCTGACTCAGTGGCGGGGGCTGGAGTTGGGGGTTCTGAAGCCTGGAGGAGGGCTGGGCCAGTCCCAGGCTGAACCCTGGCCCTCCTTCACAGGCCTAGGAGTGCTGAGCGCAGCTGAAGGAAGAGAATTAATTACTGAGTGTACGCGCAGAATAGGTTCCAATAAAAGCTGTTTCTTGACCTCATATATTTTCATTCTGGGAGAGGCTGGTAAGGTAGCCACACAATCATAGGCAAGGATCTAGGGCCCGTCCCCCAAAACGTCTGCCTTCCACCAAGGCTGGGCCAGGCAGGTAAGGTTCCCTCAAGTCTCACCCGTGTCTCTTTTCCCAGGTCTTCAAGCAGCTCAGCCCGGTAAGCTCTGGGGACATGGGCTCAGGCCTGTGGGGAGGGCAGGACAGGGGACTTCTGTCAGTCTGACCTATCCCCCTCCCCTTTACAGTTTGTGGGCAGCGTGGCCCTGGCCCCCCTGAGCCTCAGGAGGGCATCACAGTACCTGGCGAGTGGCCATGGCAAGCAAGTGTGAGGCGGCGGGGGGTCCACCTCTGCAGCGGGTCCCTGGTGGCAGATACCTGGGTCCTCACTGCTGCTCACTGCTTTGAAAAGTGAGTCCTGGCTGGGGTCAAGCAGAGTTTCTGGCTTTTGGGGGGCGTGGGTGCTATGTCCCCAAACTCCATAAAACTGACCCACGCTGTGCCCCTAGAGTAACACGGTACCATGTCCTGAGAACGGGCCACGTGCTAGGCACACATTATCAGGTTAATCTGAACCTTTCGTGGTGGAAGCCTTATAAGCGAGCAAATGGAGGTTGGGCAAGGGAAGGACCTGGCTTAAGGCTCCGGGCTGACTTCTGTCCATCCTTCACCTACCCGTGGTGTCTCTCATGGTGTCACTGTCCCTTCTTGTGTGCAATGCCCCAGCTTTATCTTTCCCCTTCCAGGGCAGCAATGACAGAACTGAACTCCTGGTCAGTTGTCCTGGGTTCTCTGCAACGTGAGGGGCTGAGCCCAGGGGCCGAGGTGGTGGGGGTGACAGCTCTGCAGCTGCCAAGGGCCTACAACCACTACAGCCAGGGCTCAGACCTGGCCCTGCTGCGGCTCGCCCAGCCCACGGCCCACACACCCCTCTGCCTGCCCCAGCCCACCCATCGCTTTCCTTTCGGGACCTCCTGCTGGGCCACAGGCTGGGATCAGGACACCAATGGTGGTAAGTGCTGGCCCAGCCTAAAGCCCAGAGAGGCACTACGCTTGCCCAGGGTCACACAGCCTCAGCTGCCAACTGTCCCTCTGCTCCCATCTCCCTTGCTCCCCACCAAGCCCCTTTCTCCTGCCAGCTCCCAGGACTCTGCGGAATCTGCGCCTGCGTCTAATCAGCCGCCCTACCTGTAACTGTCTCTACAACCGGCTGCACCAGCGGCTGCTGGCCAGCCCAGCTCGACCTGGGATGCTGTGTGGGGGTGCCCAGCCTGGGGTGCAGGGTCCCTGTCAGGTGTGATGGGGGAGATGAGGGAGGGGAACAGAAAGAGAGGGGGCCTAGCTCCGGGCTCGGTACTCAGATCCTAGGGACAGGTGGACGTGCCACTGTTAGAGGGGGTCTGCCTGTGGCTGGGGCTCAAGTGTCCACCCTTGACTCCCTTGCCTGGCTCCAGGGAGATTCTGGGGGCCCCGTGCTGTGCCGTGAGCCAGATGGACACTGGGTTCAGGCTGGGATCATCAGCTTTGCATCAAGCTGTGCCCAAGAAGACACCCCCGTGCTGCTGACCAGCACGGCTGCTCACAGCTCCTGGCTGCGCGCTCGAGCTCAAGGGGCAGCCTTCCTGTCCCAGAACCCGGGGACCCCGGAGATCAGTGACGAGGACAGCTGTGTAGGTATGAGCAGGGGGCATTAGGAGTGGGACAGGTGGGGACAACCGGGCCTGGCTAAGGACCTCTGGGGAGCAGATAGATGCATCGTAAAGCCAATTTCAGCTCAGAACAGAGAACTGGGACAAGGCATTCACACACTGTCAGGGGCGAATTAGGCGGCTTTTAAGGGCCCTTTCAGCCCTTAAGAGAGGAACAGCCCTACTGAGGGCTGAGAGGCATACATACCTAAGAACTCTGTGCATTTGGAGCTTAGGTAAGAAGAGGGATCTGAGGTCTAACTGAAGGTTGTGGGAGTAAGCTCCAAGTTTCTAAGCAGGGACCCAGGGAGATGGGACAGGGCAGGGCTCCCACTCAAAATTCTAGCCATGGCCCTCAGATGCCAGGCTGACTAACATGCAAGAGAGTTCCTAGGGCAGAAGTCTTGATGGTAAGAGAAGTACTAGTGAGCCAGGAATTCTGGGGCCAGTTCAAGCCCTGGGGGTGCAGACAGCTGGGGTGGGAGTATGATGAGCCGGGCCACTCCCATGAGGCTAGACCATCAGGGTTTAAAAGCTTGGGCCCTGGCTTTTGAGTCTCAAGTTGGCTACCTGCCTGTGGTTACTGAGTTAGAAAGTCATTTAACCTCGCTGGGACTTGGTTACTTTGGTAACAAGGGTAACAAAATCCAGCTTAAAAGGATATTGTGAGGATCTGATAGTTTGTGGGAAGCACTTTGCACAGGGCCAGACATGCAGTGAGCACTTAGCAAGAAGGCAGGTGAGGTCATCCCGTCTGTTCCAGCCTGTGGATCCTTGAGGAGAGAAGGCCCCCAGGCAGGAGCCCCCTCCCCATGGCCCTGGGATGCCAGGCTGATGCACCAGGGGAAGCTGGCCTGTGGTGGAGCCCTGGTGTCAGAGGAGGTCGTGCTGACTGCTGCCCACTGCTTCATTGGGTGAGCCATGTCTCTATTGCCTTGGTGCCCCCTGCCCTTGCCGGCAGCCCTGACACCCGTGGCTGTCAATGCTGCCTCTGCTCAGGCGCCAGACCCCAGAAGAATGGAGCATCAGGCTGGGGTCCGGACTAGAGGAGCGGGGCCTGAAGCAACTCATCCTGCATGGGGCCTACACCCACCCAGAGGGGGGCTATGATGTAGCCCTCCTGTTGCTGGCCCAACCCGTGACACTAGGCCCCAACCTTCGGCCGCTCTGCCTGCCCTATTCTGACCACCAACTGCCTGATGGGGAACGCGGATGGGTCCTGGGGCTGCCCCGCCCAGAAACAGGTACGTAGGACAGGGCCACCAGCAGCTGTCCATCCAGCCTAGAGGCTGCTGGGCAGCTGGGTCTTGTCCCCTGCCCTACAGGCACCAGCTCCCCTCAGACAGTGCCTGTGACCCTCTTGGGACCCAGGGCCTGCAGCCGGCTGCGTACAACTCTTGGGAGCGACAGTGTCCCCATTCTGCCAGGCATGGTGTGTTCCAGTGTCGTGGGTGAGCCACCCCACTGTGAGGTAAGCCACCCCACTGTGAGGTAAGCCCCGGTCCCCCAAACCTTACCCCCTAGAGGGCTGACATCTTTATCCTCTAATTCATGAACGAACCTTAGCCAGGCTTGGCCTCCAGACTTGCCTCTCCCTCAAAATTCGGTCTTTCTGCTGACTAGTTCCCAAACGGCCAGAGCCTCAGCCCCCACAGTTGCCTAGGGAGAAGAGAAAGTCACCCACTGTCACCTGACCCCTGACAGGGCCTGTCTGGGGCACCACTGGTGCACGAGGTGAGGGGCACATGGTTCCTGGCTGGGCTACACAGCTTTGGAGATGCCTGCCAGGGCCCTGCAAGGCCTGCAGTGTTCGTGGCGCTTCCCGCCTATGAGAACTGGGTCAGCAGCTTGGACTGGCAGGTCTACTTTGCTGAGGAGCCAGAGCCCGAGGCCGAGACTGGAAGCTGCTTGGCCAACACAAGTATGTGGCCCTAGGGCCTCTCTGCTGACACTTCTCTCTCTCGATGCATGCTCTCTCAACCCGGGGAAAGATCAGTTCTGGCCCACCTCAAGCTCCCTGGGTGGGGTCATGGGCAAAACACTGGTTCTTCATCACTGTGCCTTGGAGCAGGCCTCCCAACTTCTTCAAACCTCCGTTTTCTTATCTGTCATGGGGCTTAAATAGTACCTTCCAGGGAGGGAGGGAGAGTATTGAGGATGAGGTCAACCCAACCCTCCTTCCTCTTTCTGACAGGCAAACCAGCTGGCTGTTGATAGGTGGCTCTGGGATGCTGCTGCAGACACAGACAATTTTTGAGTCCACCACCCATGTCCCTTTCCTGTAGTCCCTGCCTGCACATGATTCCAGGCACCGGGGCAGGCCCACCAGCCCAGTGGGCTCAGGGCTGGAGCCCTCCTGGACGGGCGGCTGCCCTCACTCCCAACCCCTGCAGGACAGGGAGATGTCGCCTGCGGGATGCTCCCCGACACACTCAGCTCTGCTGTCCGACGCAGGCGTCCCCAGCCTTCCCTATTCTTCAGACCCAGATAGGATCACACCAGTCACTTACTTTGAAAATTCGAGGGTTTTTTTTTTTGGGGGGGGGGGGGGCAATTTTCCTTTTTTTTTTTTTTCTAAACTTAAATAAATTGTTACAAAATAGACTTTAGAAAATAAGTTACAAATTGTAGCAAAAGGCTCCCCTTCCACAGGCAACATTCCCACCTGTAGCTCTCTGATTCTGCCTCTCCCTGGCGTTGGAATCTGGCTGGGGACGGTGGCCCCAATTTGTGGCAGAGCCTGGCACCGGGTTTCTTGCAGGGCTCATCATAGGGAAGAGCATAGTGACCAAGGCTGGGAAAACGAGGGTCTTCAAGGACAGGGACGTGAGGAAAACCTTACCCCCTCCTTGGGCAAGAAGCCAGATCCGGTCCTCTGCACAGTGGGAGAGGAGAATGAGAGATGGGGATGCCTAACTACTCCTGAGCAAAACATGGAGATCAAGCCTTTCCCTGCAACCCGCCCCCCCCACCCCGCCCGTATTCTGATCTTTGGAGACTTGGAGTTTAGAGGGAGAAGCTGAGGTCTGCAGGCCACTGGGGTGAAGGATCCAGAAGTGAGGTCGTGGGGGTGGGAGGAGGGGGCAATGACAAGTCCCCTCTCCCTGCCGCTGGTGCCTTTGGGGATCCTGGGGAGAAAGAGAGGAGGTCACTGAGGGCAGCAAACTGCACACAGCTTGCACCCTGTTCCCAAACCCTGCAGGCCATCCTGCCGCCACCACACCCACCGCCCCCACCCCCACCGTGGGCCCAGAAGCCTACATGAGAAACTCCCAATTATTTTTCCAGGCCTGATTAACCGGCTTCTCGCTCATTCCCTTGAGGTCACAAGAAATCTTTTATCCTGAAAGCCATCTCGTCAGCTCTCTCAGGGGACTCTCACCCACCATGCCCTCCCTCCTTGACAATCTCTGGTCAAGGACCTGCCATCTTAGGGACATCCACCCTCGGTGGCCACTAAATGGAATGGGTCCTGGGAGAAGGCCTAGAGATCTCGAGGGGGAGGCTGAAGGCGTGAGCCCAGGGCTCAGAAAAAGGCTGCCCCACTCCCCCGCAGGCTCATCCTCCAGCTGGGCTGGGTGGGGTGACTTTCCATGGAGATTCCCCTGATAGAGGATGGGAGATAGGGGCTAATGACTGTTGTAACTACAGCTGGGCCTGGCTTCAAAGAAACAATTATCTGTGACTCAGTCCTCCAGTTAAAGGTGTGTTGGCAGGAACGGGGGTATGCAGGTAGAAAGAGTGGTTTGGTTGGCTCCTAAAAAGGAGATGCACAGCAGAGAGAAGAAAGGGTTCGATGAGGGGAAGATGAGACATGGGGCAGTATCACTAGCAAAGGACCAAAGGTCTAGATTCCAAGAAAAGAGGAGGGGGACAAGATGCAGGGAAGAGGGACAGGGAGCTGGGGGCCAACCAGTGGCCTGGTTTCCCTGGCCAAGTCGGCACAAAAGCCACAGAGCAGTCGAGTCTGGGGGTGGCTCCCACGCCCTTCCTCACTCTCCTGCTCCCTGCCTCAAGGAAAGAGCACCGCCTAGACCATTTTTTCCTCTGGAAATCATTCCTTTTCTGGCTAGATCAGGGAAGTAGCCAGATGTAATAGGTGCCTCCCTTCCCCAAATAAAAAGCCCCTTCCCCTTTGGCTCAGCAGCTGCCCATGCCCCTACCCCACCCCACCATCCCACACACCATGCTGTTGACCTCACCCAGGGTTTCAATCTCAGCCCTCACAAGGCAGCATCCTCAAACTATTTTTCCTCCATATCGAAGCTCCCCCCACCTGCCTCACACCTCCTGGGAGCCGTATGACCCTCTCCTCTCATTCCGTGACCCCCCACACCCCGACTCTGTGCCCACCTCCTCTGGAACATTTCTATCCTCTCTGCCCAAGCCATTCATGCCTCCGTACCAGAGCTGGCCACCGTCCATTCCTCCTGGTGCTGCTGCTGGTGCTGCTGGAAGCTGATTCGGCGGCGGAAGTGGCGGGGACAATGAGGGCAGGAGAAGGGCCCCTCCCGAGGCGCATGGACCCGCCCGTGACCCTCCAGCCGGGCAGCTGTCCGGAAGGCCTTGCCACAGATGCTGCAGCGGTGGCGCTTGGGGTCTGTGTGGGTCCTGCCGTGGTTCTTAAGGGACAGCAGGTTGGGTAGAAGTTTGGGGCAGAGGGAGCAGGGGTAAAGTCCAGTGGTGTGGGCCTTTTGGTGGTTCAGCAGGCTCCCAGCGTGGCGGTAGGACCGCCCACACTGGGCACAGCGGAAGGGCCGTTCCTCTTCAGCCACAGTGGGCTTTACTCCTTGCCCCCCAGTAGCTCTCCCGGCATCCTCTCCCGGGACGCTGGGGGTTTCTGATGGGGACTTCTGGATTTCCCCTTGGCCAGGGGTATCTACCTCATCCTCCACGGTCCCACCTTCAGGACCTGTGGCCTCCTGTATCTGGGGTAGCATCTGACCGAAGCCACTGGCATGTGTGTGCAGGTGACTGGCTAGTTCATGATGGGACTGAAAGGCCTTGTCACAGTCAGAGCAGGCAAAGGTCTGGGCAGCTATGTGGTTGTGGCTGTGGCTCTTAGTGGCCACAGGATTCACGAACTCCTCAGGGCAGGGCAGGCAATGGTGGCAGTCCGTCTCAGGGGTGCTGTGGCGGTTCAAAGGGCCTTCTGACGACGGGCGGTACGTCTCGCCACAACGGGTGCAGGAAAAGCGGTGACTCTCTGGCTGGACCTGAAGTCGGCTGTCTCCACTGTCCCAGCTATCCACAGGACTCAGACTGGGTCCATTGGGCTGGGTGTTGCCATGACAACAAGGACTCTTGGGGATCCTTTCCTCCGACTGATCTGCTGGCTTGGCCAGTACATGACCCTGAGGAACCCAATATCCGCCATGATTCACTGGTCCCCCCTCTCCTTGCCTCCCTTCTGCCTTCCCCACGTCCCGGAATCCCGGCTCCGCTGCCATGATGGGGCTCAGACTCTGCTCCCCCAGCCTCTTGGCTCCACTCTCCAGCTGGAGAACTGATTCAGGACCACCCGCTCTGTCCTCTGGCCCCTGGTCCCTGGCCAGGTTCCCCTCATGGCCCTCTGTGTCTCCCGGACCACTTCTGGTCTCCTCTTCGTGCTCCCGCAGGTGCTGCTCCAGAGATCCCCGGCCAGGGAAGCCCCGGCCACACAGGGCACAGCGCACGGCTGCCCGCCGGGACAACCCCGCTCGCCGCCGCCGGCTCTCTGAGTGCAGCCGCTGGTGGTCCTTCAGGGCCATGCTGTTGGAGTAGGTCTTGGGGCACGTGGGGCACCTGTACTGGCCCGTCTCATGGCTGCGCCGGTGGTTCAGGAGGCTGCCCGCGTGCCGGTAGGTGCGCCCGCACTGCCCGCACCTGAAGGGCCGATCCTCCCGCGGCAGCTTCCGGGCGCCCCCACTCCCGGCCCGCTCAGCATGGACCCGCTGGTGGCTGGCCAGCTGCTTCCGCAGGCGGAAGGCTTTCCCGCACTCGCCGCAGCGGAAACGCCGGGGGTCGGCGTGGATGCGCCGGTGGTTCTTCAGGGACATGAGGTTCGAGAAGCCTTTGGAGCAGGCGTGGCAGCCAAAGTGGCCGGTCTGGTGGCTCTGGCGGTGATTGATAAGGCTGCCGGCGTGCTTGTACGACCGGCCACACACCTCGCAGCTGAAGGGCCGCTCGGTGCTGGCCTCGGTCTGGCAGCTCTTCTCCGCCGTCTCCAGCCTCGGCTCCTCCTCCCCCTTCCTAGCGGCCTCCTCCCACTCCTCCTCTTTCACACTTGCCGCCTCCTCCAAGGGCTCCACTTTCAGCTCTTCCTGGAACCTTCCCCCGTCTGCCTGACCCAGATCTTCTTCGGCCACGTCCTGAGCCTCGCCGCTGCCCCCGGCCTCCGGGATGGGCCCCACGTGGGGCTCAGAGCCCTTGCAGCGCGGGTGGTTCCGCAGGTGGTTCCGGTAGGCGGCCAGGTTTGGGTAGCAGCGGGAGCAGACAGGACAGGTGAAGTCACCAGTTTGGTGGATCTTGCGGTGGTTCACCAGGCTGCCCCCGTGGCGATAGGTCTTGCCGCACTGGTTGCAGCGGAAGGGGCGGGGCTGGGCCTCTGGCGCGCTCTCCTCACCGGACCTGCAAAGGCTGTCCACAACCACGGCACCGGCTCCCTCTCCAGACTTTGTGTCCTCGCCCTCCCCAGACAGAGAGGTCACTGCGCCCTCAAAGACACGGTCACCACCTGCAGCCCTTCCCATGGCATCACTGGGCTCTCCTAAGTGGCTGGGAGCTTCGTCTGTGGTGTTCCCAGAACTCTGACTTTGGTGGTGACGCTCCAGGCTCCCTAGGTCATCATAGGTGTGACCACAGCAGCCACAGATGTGCCCATAACCGGCTCCGTCCAGTGCCTCCACCTCCCGCTGCAGCTGATTCAACAGCTCTACTTCCGAGAGCTGCAGCGGAGGGCTCTGGGTAGAGGCTGCCCCAGGGGCTCCTTCCTCTTCTCCCTCCTCCTCTGAGCCCTCCGTCAGGCCAGAGGAGTCATGAGCCTGGCGCCGGTGAAGCCTGTAGCCAGCCCGGCCTGGGAAGATCATGCCGCAGAGGCAGCAGAGGAAAGGCTGTGCAGGGGCTGCCTCCCCGGGCCCATGGTTCTGGAAGTGGCTGCGCAGGGCAGGCAGAGAGTCAAACTCCTTTGGGCAGAGGGAGCACTGATAGATGCCCGGCAGGTGGCAGGGCCGGTGGCTCAGCAGGCCAGTGGCATGAGGGAAAGAATGCC